GTAAAGTTTAGCTTGTAGGTTTGTAAAGTTTAGCTTGTAGGTTTGTTTAAATTTGATTCATGACCAGCTGTGGGGTCCCCCCAACTTCGTAAACCCTGACTGGAAATGACTGATGTTTGAAGCTATCAGAACCAGAGCTTAATGTCTGATCCAGTTCTGGTCCAAAGACTGAAGGTTCTCCACTGATTTGCTAAAAGACAAATGGACTATTTTTGGACAAAACATGGATGCTGCAATTGGTTCAAAGAGCTGTCAATCAAAAGCCAAGGATGCACGTTTTATTTTGAAATTACTGGATTAACCCTTTTGGACACAAACTATAAATTATTGTAAAAATAAAGTAAAAATAACTATAATAGAATTTTTTACGTTTTTAGCCACGGCTCATAAAATAACCTTTGAATACTTTTTAAACATTTCTCTGATTTTTACTCCGTTATACAAACAATCCTTCCTCTGTTTGCTGTAAATTAAAAACATATATTAATATTTTATTTCACCATTGATTTTCTGCACATTTATTTCACAGTTTGCAGTTTATCTTGCAAGTGTTGGTGAAAATCAGATTTTTGGAGTAAAGATTAAAATCAGTTTTTGTCATGAACTTAGTCAAATATTTTTAAATAATTAAATAAGTTTTATTAAATTAAAATGAGTATTTGTAAATCCTGAATTAATTTCATTTAATTCTGCTTTAACGGCTGATTTATGAGCAGCTGCAACAGAAACAGGATTTTGTTGTTTTATTAAATTATTAGAAGAGAATAAAAGTTATATTAATTTGTCATCATGAGTTAAATATAATAAATCAAATTACCTAAAATAAAAAATAATTTAAATAAGTTGACATGATTCATTTTATAATTATTATTTTTTTAAATTTCTTTCATTCATTTATTTCAGAAGCTGAAATGTAAAAATCTTGGATTAGAAAGTTTAAATTTAACGTTTCATGTTCAGGTTGTGGATCGTTTCCATCATTTTAAAGACAAACACTAAATATTTCCAGGGTTTGAGTCGTTCGTCCTGCAGCAGCGATGGAAAGCAGCATTTAACGGTTAGTTTAACTTCTAATTTAATATTTAATTTAAATTTAACATTTAATTTAAATTTAACATTTAATGCACAATTTGCTCTTTAAACTGTTCATCTAAAGCATCGGTGAGAAACAAACAGACCGAGGAGAAAAAGATACGAAGAAACAAGAAGGAGACGCTTTTAAATCATTCAAACTGTTTCCATCATGGAGCAACGATGGGCCGGGCTCCGGCAAGAAGAACCGGTCTGAGTCAGTGTCCCTGGGTGGTCCGGGGGTCACCGGGTGGTCCGGGGGTCACTGGGGGGATTCTTTCAGCCGAGTGGAAACACTCAGCTGCAGCTTTATTTACTCAGCAAACAAAGAAAACGGTTTAATGTCAAAATGGAAGAAGAATTTGTTTCAATCTGTCTTCAGTTGTGTCAGGAGGAGGACAGGTGCACTGCTGCACCTCTGGACTCTAGGGGCCCCAGGGGGGCCCTCCAGGGGGCCCTGGGGCCACACCTTTTATTAGTGGACATGGACCACTTGCTCGCTCAGGGTGAAGGTTAAGTCAGCGGAGCTCGACAGAGCGACGGAGTCCCACGCCTGGCTGAAGGGCTGAAGAGGCCCCCGAAGGGCCATGGGCCCCTCCACACAGAAATAATGACGTTAAATGTTAAAAACTGGGACGATGAGGCAGAAAATCAAAGTCTTGTGCAGACGAGACCAAATGATGAAAAAGATGAATTTTTACATCAAAGCCTGACGAGGAATTCAAACGATCTCTGAGAAACAAATAATTTAATTTAAACAACTTAAAGTCTAAATCTAAGATCTAAATATTTAAATATTTAGGTGGAGAACTTTAATTAAAACTAAACATATAAATATTTATTTACATCTGATTATAACAAAATAAAAACATTTTAAAAGAATAAACAAGTTTTATGAACTTTAAGGCCAAATATTTATTTCAGGGTTTGGTTGTGGAGAAAAGTTTCAGATGAAAATCTTTAATTTAAAATAAATTAAATGAAATAAATAAAATCTGCAGAAACACTCTGGTTCTGATCCGGTTCTGAAACAGTCACACAGACGACACGTTCAAACAGAATTTAATTTTTACATTTCTTTGGTTTAAATAAAAAAATTTAAAAAGCTTTAAAATATTTTGTTTGTAAAACTTTAAAATATTTGTAAAAATTACTTTCTGAATAAATTTCTAATAAATTAAACAACAGGTGAGAATTATTAGTTTAAATATTTTATAACTTTGAGACCATAAGAACCCTGCAGCTTACTGACCTCTGACCCCCAGGACCCCTACCTGTTGGTGACCTCTGACCCCGCCCCTCCTCCTCCGCGTGGAGCTGCTGAGGTTTGGCTTGCTTGCGGCGGGACATGCTGACCGGTTCGGTTCCGGATCATCTACAAACTGGAACTGGACCGATCAGGGGGAGCGGGTTCGGTATAGTTCTGCCGCTCTCCGCGCGCGCACTGCGCGTGTCCGAGGGGAGGTCGTGACTGCATCTGCCGCGGTCCAAAAGGACCACATCAGAACCGGCTTTAAGAACCGCCCCGCTTCCTGTTCAGGGGCGCTCTGACCCGGTTCGGTCTGGTCCAGGTCCTTCCTCTGCGAGGGTCTGAGCCTCTCCGGGCTGAAGTGGGTCAGATGTTCTGTTAGGACCGGACCACCAGAACAAACTCACACAAGGTTCCACCGTCCAACAAACCGGTTCCAGTGTCTCCCGACACCGAACCGAGCCCAGAACCGAGTCCGAGATTCAGGCGGAGGGGAAAAAAACGTGCGTAAAGTTCGTGCGTAAAAACCAAAAATCCGGCTCAGGTCGCGCTGGAATCCGGTCCAGAAGGGTCCGGATTGTCCGGTTCGGTGTCAGACTGGTCCGGTGTCAGACTGGTCCGGTGTCAGACTGGTGTCTGAGGGAAGTGAGACCCTCTGGTTTGTCTCCTTGTTGTTCCCGCCTCTGGTCCATGAGTCCCTCCTGAGTCCGGTTCTGATTGGCTGCAGCAGGAGGACACACAAGCGCACACATGCGCACGCACACACACGGACACACGCGAGTGCGCAGAGCTGATCCATCCAGAGATTTTTCATTCAAGCTTTATGTCTACAGGTGAGTCTCATTGAGCCTCGAGGACTCTTTAACAAGAGAACCCTGATTTAACAAAGAACACAGAGGAGGAGCAGAAAACAATAAACAATCATATAAAAACATAAAATGAAAAAGTAAACTGAAGAAATTAAATTTAAAAAATGAAACAAAAGCAGCTGCATTATAAAGAGATGTAGAAAACTGAAAACAGGAATGTGTCTGCGTTGGTCTTTGTCATGAACTTAACAGAAATGAACTACACAAACGAACCTTCTCCTCCTCCGCTCGTTTCCTGGAACATCAAAAAGATCTGAAGCTCTCGACCTTTGACCTCTCTGAGTGGCTGCACTGAGGGAACACTGCAGGTAATGATGTCCTGAGAGCGCACGCTGTAGCTGCACTCACACAGAGACATGAAGGAGGAGATGTATGAAGGCAGCAGACCAAGAAGTGATTTAAAGATGAAAATGTACCAGTGAGAGAGTCTGTGTGAAGTTAATGGTGACCAGTTAATGATGTCTAGTTAATGATGTCCAGTTAATGATGTCCAGTTAATGGTGACCAGTTAATGGTGACCAGTTAATGGTGACCAGTTAATGATGTCCAGTTAATGATGTCCAGTTAATGGTACCAGTTAATGATGCCCAGTTAATGGTGACCAGTTAATGATGACCAGTTAATGATGACCAGTTAATGGTGACCAGTTAATGATGTCCAGTTAATGATGTCCAGTTAATGGTGACCAGTTAATGATGACCAGTTAATGATGTCCAGTTAATGGTGTCCAGTTAATGGTGACCAGTTACTGATGTCCAGTTAATGATGTCCAGTTAATGGTGACCAGTTACTGATGTCCAGTTAATGATGACCAGTTTATGGTGACCAGTTAATGGTGACCAGTTAATGGTGACCAGTTAATGGTGACCAGTTAATGATGTCCAGTTAATGATGTCCAGTTAATGGTGACCAGGTAATGGTGTCCAGTTAATGATGACCAGTTAATGGTGACCAGTTAATGGTGACCAGTTAATGATGACCAGTTAATGATGACC